GAAGGAGAAGCAGAGAAACATTGATGTGAGAAAAATATCCATTGGTTGCCTCCTGTACACACTTCTCCTGGAGATCAAACCTGAAACCATTTTGGTGTACGGAATTATGCTCCAACCAACTGAGCCACCTGGCCAGGGCCCACTACCCTTTTTTTCTTCTTGGTTAATCCTCACCCAAGGATATTTTTTCCGTTGCTGTGTTTTGTTTTGTGGGTTTTTTTTAGAGAGAGTGCAAGGGAGAGAGAGAAAAAGAAAGAAACATCAAAGTGAGAGAGATACATCAATTGGTTGCCTCCTGTGTGTGCCCTGACTGGGGCCAGGGATCAAACCTGCAACCGAGATACATGCCCTTGACCAGGAATTGAACCCCCGACCCTCCTGTGCACAGGCAGATTCTCTTAACTACTGAGCCACACCGGCCAGGGCCCCACTACCCATTTTTTAAAAAGGGAATACTGTCACTATTTTTGAAACCATGTCCTTGCCTTTTCTGAGTTAAATCACTATCCTGAATTTTGTGTTCCTTTCCTTTGCTTTTTATACTACTGTGTGTGTGTGTGTGTGTGTGTGTGTGTGTGTGTATGTATGTATGTATGTATGTATGTAACGTTTAATAGCCTTGTTTTTGAAATTTATATAGTGGTATACTATATATTCTCCTGTGACTAGCTTTTTTTGTTCACTCTTTTTGTAAGTGTCTGTATATTGCTGCCTATAGCTGTTTGGTATTTTGTAAAATACCTTCAAAGTATTTTGAGTCTTTGATTCCTTAAAATTTCTTCATTGTTCTTTTCAGATTACAAAAGTAATTTATGCTGTTGAAAATTCAATCATAGAAATATAACAGAATGGAAAAGTCCCCCATAATCTCATGTATTATCAGCTAGAGTCATACCCGTAGTTAAATGTTTCTCTGCTTATGTTCTGTCATCTTTTTTGGCTTGTGTCTACCTTAAGATGTCTGGGATCTTAGCTGAGAAGACTTAAAGGCTGGGAGCAACTAGAAGGTGGGATCATCTAGAGCAGGGGTGGGGAACCTTTTTTCTGCCAAGGGCCATTTGGATATTTATAGCATCATTCTCCAGCCATACAAAATTATCAACCTAAAAATTAGCTATAAAAAAGGCTCCTAGATTTATTGAATTTTGAGTGCCTCCTGCGGTTGCCTTGGCAGGGCTGGACTTTTCCCCACCGCTGATCTAGAGGCATCTTCACTCAACATGTCTGGCAGCTGTACTACCTATTGGCTTGCACTCAGTATTGCTATTGTCTGGAATACCTCCATGTGGCTTTTTCATGTGGTCTGGTTTGGACTTCTTTATAGCATGAGAGCTGGGTTTCAAGAGTAAGTGTCCCTAGAGAGCAAGAGAGAAGTGCATGGCACTTTTATGATCTAGCCTTACAGATTGTATAGCATCACTTAAACTATACATTATTGGTTGAAGCAGTCACAAACTACTATTTAGGTGATGCAGACTTTAATATTTAATTGGAACAGTATCAAGGTTACACTGTTGGAAGGGCGTGATGGGAGATACTGTTGTAGCTATCTTTGAAAAATAGCATCTACATTATGAAGGATTGTTGAAAAAGGAAAAGGTTTGAACAAAGTCATATCTAATTCATGTTCTTGAGTTACAGTCTTTTTCCTTTTTATTTGTTGCTGTCAACATAAAAGCATTCATGGGATCTATGTAGAATTTGTTTTCTGATCCCATGTTGGCGAAACTGAGAAAAACTACAAAACCTACATGCTTCTACTTTACATCCTGCCATTCTTTTTTGTTATCTGTATTAAAATGACCGTCTCGCTAATAGACTTACCTTATGGCAAATTTAGTGTGTTTTTGACTGTTGTCCCCTCATAAAATTGTCCTATTTAAAAACTGCCCAGTAAGTATTAATACAAATTAGATTTTATTAGCATATGCACTAATTTTTAAGTTCCTTGAATCCAATTATGATACATAGTGATGAGAAATCCATTTTTCCATAGGAACAGGGTGGTTATTTGGGATTATATTTTGGACTGAAAATTTGGCAACAAATAATTGATAAATCAAAAACTATTTCAGGCCCGGCTGGGTGTGGCTCAGTGGTTGAGCATCTGCCTAGGATCCAGGAGATCGCAGTTTGATTCCCAGTCAGGGCACATACCCTGATTGTGGCCTTGATCCCCAATCAAGGGCGTGCAGGAGGTAGCCCGATCAGTGACAACGCTCTCATCATTGATGTTTCTCTCTCTCTCCCCCTTTCCTTTCCTCTCTCTGAAATCAATAAAGATATATTTAAAAATATATATATAAAACAAAAACCCCCACCCTATTTCAGAAAAATAAAAGGCACAGCAAAGATTTGTCTATTAAGATATAAACTAGTAACACTAAGTTGCAAGTTCTGTAACTTGTACATAAATGTTGGTATATAGTGACTATGGAAGCATTCTAGTTTCAAGGTAAGGGTCATGGTTTACGAGTATTTTTCTGGCTAGGTTGACTCCAGTCATACAGACAGGACCTCAAATACTGGCATATACATTGGTGAATTCACTGAAGGTCTTGCACCCAGGTGTATATCTGCTTTTGACAATTCTCTTGGCTTTTGTTTATCTAAAAGTCATTATTGCACCCTGTTTTTGAAGGGTATTGAATTTTCAGTTGACAGTTTTTTCCTACTTTGTTTCTGATGAAAAGTCAGCCTTAATTCATATTGTTCCCTTGTATGTGTGGTTTGTTGTTTTTTTCTGACAGCTTTTAAGATATTATAGTCGTCATTGGTTGTTAGTTTGATGTGACTAGGTAGTTTTCTTCATATTTATTTTGCTTGGGGTTTCATCTGTAAGGGCTTTTCCCCCTTCCATCAAAGTTAGGGGATATTCTTCTATTATTTCTGCAAGATTTTAAAATTTTTTCTTATTTATTTATTTTTTTTGTGCCCCATTTTCTCTTCTGGGACTCCATTTGTACCTGTGTTAGACTGAGGTTTCTGGCTGGAGAGACTGGATGCTTATACCATTAACTAAGAGAATGCAGTGAGTTTATCTCTAGTCTCCAAATATAGGTTATTAAATTTGACAGTTAAGAGGTCATTGGTAACCTTAGCCTTGGATAGAGTGGAAAGTCGATTCTGTGCAAGAAGGAGTTAAGGAGTGAACAGAGATTGAAGAAGTGTAGAGGCTTACTACTGTAGTTCTGTGTTTGTTTTATGCACCATAGTTATGTTTATGACTTACAATTTTGTTTTCTTTTGAGGCCTTCATCATAAACAGCTTCCCTCTCCTCTGGTTTTGAATGCTCTGAGAAGATATGAGGCACTTTATGACATGATTTCTAGGAGCATAATTGCTACAATAAACTACCTATGCTTAAAGAAAAGATTTTTACCAAAGGAGTTAATATTTTTCTTGATTTGGTGTGACTTGGGGATTGAAGACTTCTGACATTGGATATTCAGCTGGAATCTTGTTTATTTATCTTCATGCACAAGGGAAAGTGGCCAGTAACACAGAAGAGCCATTTTGCCTTATTTTATACGTTGTTGCAGTATTTGTTGGGAAGCAGAAGACTTGAGGTCTCTATTATTAATTTTTGTTTTGTTTTAATGAGCACTAGAACATCATTGAATAATACATTCGTATAAATCTATTTAAGTTCTTTGTGAAGTCAATACATTATAATTTTTAATAATGTGATTAAGGATGACTTTATTATGTACCCTTTTAAACTAGATAATCTTTTATATGCAAATAATTGTTATGTATCTTAACTATCAACTTAGAAGTTTTAAGGTTTTAAATTTTCTTTTATATAAACAATCTGTGTAATTGAATAAAAAGTATCAAAAACAAAACAAAGCAAAGAAAGAAACAAAACAAAACAAAACCTCTGAAAGACACCTGAATCTTTGGTAGAGTTCTCCTGGGGGGAGTTTTTGACTTGATCATATTTTCATTAGATGATACTATATAGTCAGGGATGAAATGTATATTGAGGGGTTGTGTTATATTTTAACTATATTATAATTAGTGTGTTAGAATTTAAAAAATGCTTAAAATTGAACCTGCTTTAGGGTGACTTTACTTTCATGATTCCAAGATGAATGCAGTTTAGTACTTGTTTATTTTGAAGTGTATTAACCATAAAAAATTCAGCATTTGGCAGACTCTTTATCAGAATTACCTGGTTGTTGCAGATTATAATATCCTTGGATTTGTTATTTTAATATTATCTTTTTTTCCCTCCCCAGTTCAAAGCAGTATTCAACGATTTCAAGAGAAGTTTTTTATTTTTGCTCTGACCCCTCAACAAGTTAGAGAGATATGCATATCCAGGTAAGAGGAATGTTTGGAATATATTTCTCCATGAATATTGGTGTATTAGTCTGCTAAGGCTGCCGTAACAAAGTACCATATACTGGGTGGCTTGAACAGCAGAAATTTATTTTCTCACATTCTAGGAGGCTAGAGGTCTAAGATTAAGGTGTTCACAGATTTGCCTTCTCCTGAGCCCTCTCTTCTTGGTTTATGGGACAGCCGCCTTCTTGCTGTGTGTACTCACATGGCCTTTCCTCTGTGCACCTGTGCATCCCTGGTGTCTCTTTTTATGTGGACACCACACACATATAGGGTTAAGACCCCCAACTTGTGACTTCATTGAACCTTAATTACCTTTTTAAAGTCTCCATCTCCACATATGTCACATTAAGGGTTAGGGCTTCAATATGAATTTTGGGATGATACAATTCAGTCCATGACAGTTGGACTATTTCTTTTTAAGTAAATGTGGTATATACTTTGACTAAGTTGCCCAAATACTTAATAAATACTCTGTACTAGAAAAAAAGTTTAAACTTTGAGTAAAACCCCAGAGTATCTTTTGAATTACTTTTTGTCACATTTGGCAATATTTTTTTTAATGAAAAATTTATTCCAAATATAGCAACATAAAAAAGAATATGTGATAGCCCAAAGACAGGATGATCATCTACTTTATCATCCAAACAGGCATTTTAGAGTGAAAATAGACATTATTAATAATTTTTCTGGGATAAGAACATCAGCTAGGACCGTTCTGAGCATAGTAGAGGGACTATTCCAAAAAATCCAATATCCAGATAATATGGGGTTCAGAAAAAGGGAGACGATTTAAAGGAGGTAATTACCAAAGAAGTCAAATGAATGTAGCTTAATGTAGTCCACGTTCATCAGGGGCAAGGTATTGAGTGAGTTTGTGTGAATTGGAAGTACTTTCAATCTTGGGGATAGTAACCAGCTAACAAAGAAATAAATAGAATAAATTAAATATTATAATTTATATTAAAAACCATATCATTAACCTTAAGTTTTGTTTGTTATTTAGGGATAATCCCTTGCTTGAGATTAGCATTTACTAAATGTTTTATTAGGTACAAAACACTGTATTATATGGTATATGACCCCTTTCTACAAATTGCTTATAGTCTTGTTGGTGAACCAGCTCATATACAAAGAATGATCCTTGGCATTGTGAGGTGTCTTATGAAAAGAACCAATTCAGTAAGGACAAGTGAGAGCTGATTTCTAGGAGGAGGAGTTTACTTTTAACCTTGATGGTCTGGGAAAGCTTCACTAGTGTGTTGGGTGGGCCTTTGATGGAAGGAGATTATTTAGAAAAAGTAGATATAAAGTTATAGACTTCAAGATTATTTATTTATTTATTTTTGATGTTTCTTTATTGTTGAGACCATTACAGATGTCCCCCTTTTAACCCCGCTGATCCCTTCCACCCCACAACCATCCCACCCCCAGGCCCTCCCCACACCAATGTCCCCATCCATGGGCCATGCCTATAAACATACAAGTTCCCCAATTAATCTCTCCCCACCCACACCCCCCTTCCTGCTGTCCCTCTGAGATCCCTTAGTTTGTTCCAAGCTTCTATGTTACTGGATCCACTTTGTTCACCAGTTTATTTTGTTTATTATATTCCACATATAAGTGAGATCATTTGGTACTTGTCCTTCTCTGACTAGCTTATTTCACTTAGCATAATACTCTCTAGTTCCCTCCATACTGTGCCAAAGGCCAAAAGGTCCTTCCTCTTCACAGCCGCATAGTACTCCATGGTATAAATATGCCACAGCTTTTTTATCCACTCATCTACTGATGGGCACTTGGGCTGTTTCCAAATCTTAGCTAGTGTGAATTGCGCTGCTATGAATATAGGGGTGCATAAGCTCTTTGTGATTGTGTTTGGGGTTCTTTAGGATATATTCCCAGAAGTGGGATCACTAGGTCAAAAGGCAGGTCAAGTTTTAATCTTTCGAGGAAACTCCATACTGCTTTCTGCAGTGGCTGCACCAGCCAGCAGGGTACTAGGGTGCCCTTTTCTCCACACCCTCGCCAGCACTTGTAGTTCGTTGACTTGTTGATGGTAGCCATTCTGACAGGTGTGAAGTGATACCTCGTTGTGGTTTTAATTTGCATCTCTCTGATGATTAGTGACGTTGAGCATTTTTTCATATGTCTCTTAGCCATTTGTATGTCCTCTTTGGAGAAGTGTCTATTTAGGTTCATTGCCCATTTTTTAATAGGATTGTTTGTCTTCCTTTTGTTAAGCTGTATAAGTGCCTTATATATTTTGGATATTAACCCTTTATCTGATGAGTCATTNAGTTCCTTATATATTTTGGATAGTAACTCTTTATCAGATGTGTCATTGGAAAATATGTTCTCTCATACAATGGGCTCCCTTTTCATTTTGTTGATGGTTTCCTTTGCTGTGCAGAAGCTTTTTATTTTGATGCAGTCCCATTTGTTTATTTTCTCCTTAGTTTCTCTTGCCCTAGGAGATGTATCAGCAAACATATTGCTATGACAGATATCTGAGATTTTACTGCCTATGTTTTCCTCTAGGATTTTTATGGTTTCATGCCTTACTTTTAAGTCTTTTATCTATTTTGAATTTACTTTTGTGTATGGTGTAAGTTGGTGGTCCAGTTTCATTTTGTTGCATGTATCTCTCCAATTTTTCCAACACCATTTATTGAAAAGACTGTCTTTACTCCATTGTATGTTCTTGCCTCCTTTGTCAAATATTAATTAATAATGGCATGGGTCAATTTCTGGGTTCTCTGTTCTGTTGCACTGATCTATATGCCTGTTCTTGTGCTGGTACCAGGCTATTCTGATTACAGTGGCTTTGTAGTATAACTTGATATCTGGTATTGTGATCCCTCCAACTTTGTTCTTCTTTCTCAAGATTGCCGTGGCTATTCGGGGTGTTTTTTGGTTCCAGATAAATTTTTGAAGTGTTTTTTTCTAGATCTGTGAAATATGCTGTTGGTATCTTAATAGGGATTACATTGAATTTTTAGATTGTTTTGGGTAATATGGACATTTTAATGATGTTAATTCTTCCAATCCATGAACATGGTATATTTTTCCATTTGTTTATATCTTCCTCTATTTCCTCTAAATAAAATTTTGAAGTTTGAACTATGTGAATGTATTAAACAAGAAATGAATGACTAAAATTTAATTAATTTCAACTTACAGGTTTAATCATGCTCTAGAGGTGTGTGATAGTGATGGTTGCACAATAATGTGAATGTACTTAATGCCACAGAACTGTACGCTTTAAAGTGGTTAACATGATAAATATTTTAATGTATATTTTAACCACCCCCAATTTTTTCTAATTAACAATAAAAGTAAGGCTATTTATAATTCTCCCTCCAAAGAAAACAAAATAAAACACACACACACACATGTACAGATAAACCCCAGTCTTTTCAGAGTCTAATCAAATGGTAAAACATCTCCTTCTTCCTAAGTGGAAGTAAAAGTTTGGTACCCATTACCATGCTTCAATAATTACCAACATTTTGGTAGTCTGTATGTGACCTCTCCTCCACATTTTCCCCTGAAATATTTTAAAACAAGTAACAGGCATCATATAATTTCACCCAGAAATACCTCAGAATGCATCTCTGATTAATTTTTATCACAATCACACTAAACATTAATAATTCCTTAATATAAAATAATGTCTAGCCCTGGCCAGTTTGACTTAGTGGTTAGTGTGTCAGTCCACGCACGGACCAAAGATTCACGGGTTTAATTCCCAGTCAAGGGCACGTACCTCGGTTGCAGGCTCCCTGTTCCTGGTGGGGGGCATGTAGGAGGTAGCCAGTTGATGTGTCTCTGTCACTATGACCCCCCCCCCC